GCCTACTGTACCTGATCTAATAGGGAAGAGCCGACCGTACCTGGAATACGCACTTGCTGTCTAGTCAACGCCCCCTCCACAGCCGTAAGTCCTCCGCACTTGATATACTGCGAAGAACCAACCGTCCTTAGAGTACTTACCTGCTGTCCAGTCGACGCCTCCCTCACCGCCGTGAGCCTTCTGCACCTGATGTATTGGGAAGAACCAACTGTACTTGGAGTACTCACTTGCTGTCCAGTCGACACCCCCTTCACAGCTGTAAGCCTTCTGCACCTGACGTATTGGGAATAACCAACTGTATTTGGAGTACTCACATGTTGTTCAGTTGACGCCCTCTTCACAACCGTAATTCCTTCTGCACCTGATATACTGGGAAGAGAGTCAACGGTACTTAGAGTACTTACCTGCTGTCCAGTCGGCGCGTCCCCCACAGCCGTGAGCCTTCTGCACCTGAGAGACTGAGAAGGGTCAACCGTACTGAGAGAAAGCCTTTGGCACCTGAGAGACTGAGAAGAGTCAACCTTACTGAGAGTACTTACCTGCTGTCCAGTCGACGCCTCCCCCACAGCCATGAGCCTTCTGCACCTGAGAGACTGAGAAGAGTCAACCGTACTGAGAGAAAGCCTTTGGCACCTGAGAGACTGAGAAGAGTCAACCGTACTGACAGTAATTACCTGTCGTCCAGTTAATGCCCCTTCCACATTCAAGGTATGTGCCGCCGTTGAGGAGTGGCATTCCCCTGCAGCTCGTTGGATTCTGAGAAAGAAGAAGAAGTTTTAAATTAGGATTTACAAATTGTTTTAAGTCAATAAAGCGCTTAACTTCTTATTCCCTTTGTCTGCTTGGTTTCTGGTCTGCTCCTCAAGTGGTACTGATGTTTTAAGGGAAGGGTGTAGACCGAGTCGACCCTCCCGACCTGTGCCACGTGCTTCAGGTGTTCCTGCTGCATCAATGTCTGAGTCTGTATCATTTGGGCTCCACCTCGTCACAGCATCTGTGGGAAGAGAATGTGGTTAAAAAAAAAAAGAAAAAAAAAGAGGCTCATTTTTTAGGTTAATTAGGTACTGTTTTTGAAAATGTCTGAAAATAACCGACAATGTTGAGTATGTTCTGCGTTAAATGTGTTCGAATGGTGAAAAAATTAAAGCTGCACTCCGTAGCTTTTTTTGGGTTAAAAATTATTCAAAATACATATTTGATAAAATACGTAACCAGCCAGTGTTCAAAACTATCTGCTTGCTTCAGCTCGATTCAAAGCGGTAAGCTTGTAATAATGTTTTTAATTCCAGTGGTACTGGTGGATTTCAGCGGGAGATTCGAGCATGTCTTTGCATCATTACGTCACATCTGTACACATAAAGAAGAGTCTCGGCCAGTAGGATATATTGCGAGTGAAGATGTTGGAGGTGGAGATTTATAGCCTTTTCTCACACCACTTGATATAATTAAACTTATCAATTTGATGGCGGATCCAGAAAGGTTAAAACGACGATCACCAGTGAAGCCTAGAGATTCACCCGCTGTAAAATGCAAAAGACTTCGTTCGGACTTTCATAGTGGCTAACTTACAGAAAAAGAGACTGCAACCGGCCCATGCGAAAACAAGGATAATATCGGAAGGGCATTACATGTAGTCACGCAATGCTGACGTTGTTAACATTAACAATTTGAGAACAAAGTATAATTTGCACGGTTTTCCGTGGTATGATAACTTATAAGCGATTGTTAGATTTAATCAGCAAGATTTACTGCAATGTCAGAACCAGAACAAAAGTGGATGTTTCTTACTAGTTCAGATGACATTTTCCGGTGAAAATTCTTATGTTGGTCATACTTCCAAAAAGAATAATCTGTGATTCTGAATGCCAGTATCCACACAGGCACAGTGACTGACAGCCTCACAGTCTCCTCAAACATTGTGTTCATCCGCGCAGTGCCGTGTCGAGGGTGTTGTTGAAGTACAACTCACGTTATGTTGATAATTCCGCGAATGACTGCAATTGCAGATTTCGAACAGAGATGGCGACAAAGAGGAAAAACGCCGGACTGCAGCTTTAAAATAAAACAGCCAGACAGGTGGTCTTTTAAAGAGTGTCCCTTGATTAGATAAAAGTTAACAATAAAAATTACATTAATATTAAGACAAGGAACTAGAGATTTTTTTTAATGTCATAAGGCCAAAATTACCTTGAATTACATCGTACAAAGGTGTAGCGTTGAATGGCTTCTTTTCAAAAAGCCACAACCCCTCATATTGAAATTTGCCATTAAGGCATTTAATAGAGTTCAAAAGGTGCAGCACGCACATCCAAAACAATAAAACTGGGTGCTGGCCAGACAGGTTGCAAAAGTAAACAATGAGTCCGCACATTATATAGTTACGCCAATGTTCAGCAGGCAGTGGTTTGAGTGAGAACTCTTGTCCAGCCTTACACACACACCGCCTATGATTATTTACCTTTGTGTTTTGTTCATATTCTGTTCACTGGTTATTTTATTTATAAATGTATTTTGTTGTTTTCATGAAACTGTTGGCTGACAATAAATCACATTATACATTGAGGTCCAACTTAATTCACCAATCTGTGTAGAATCTGTGTAGAGTCAATGTAAGGGTGAATCTATTGTTGAATCCATATATTATATATTATTACTGTGCATTATTAATTATTATAATAGTTGATTTGGTCCAGTGCGTAGATGTGATTTACTGAATGCGGCCCCTTTAAGAAAAATGATACCGCGCGCACTGAGCATGCGCAGAAGAGAGAAGCGCGAGAGCCTTGCTATATTTTTGTTTTCTTTCTTCTCTCTCGCTCTCTTTCTTTTTGTTGTTTTCTTTGACGCTGCTATGAATGTAACAGTCGAACACGTTGTGATCCACTGTAAGTGTATGTTATGTTAATGTTAAAAAGAGACAAGCGCGAGAGACAAGAGCTGAAACTTTCACCAGTTAAAGCTGAAAGTGACGCTGTTAACGATCGTGAATGAAGAGCAAATGTGAAATATTTTTCCAGGTGCCGTATATTTCCAGTCTGCAGGTCAGATATTTGCTATTTATAATGTAAGAAATGACGTTTGTGTTGTCTAAATGTACATTGTCCGTAGTGTAACGTACAGAGAATGAAATCATCAGTTTTGATCAGCCTAAAGCTATTCGGTATGTATAAAGGCATATTGTGTATGATTATATTTGTTAGATTCCTGTTTAATTGATATATTTATTAAAAAATTTAACATGTGACTTGTTTCATCCTTATAAAATCACATAAAACTCACATAAAAATGAACAACCAAAATATGAACAATACACAGCCGTTTTAAATGCTAATATATAACCGTATGCCAAATGATCTATATTTCTTAAATCAAGCACATATGGTCATTTAATTTAAGAAGTGTAATTATTAAAGTATAAACTCAGTAACATTGAATTGGGCAGATCTGATGTCCCTCACAACAATTCACCAATTAAGAAAGCTTTAGTCTAGTTCAACCAAAAATTGCAATATATGATTGTAGGATTGAAAATAATCTAAGAAATTCGAAATGAACATTTGCATGCAAGACATTTGCTTTACTGTTTTCCACCCCCTCTTTCTACCACAAGGACCATTTGGAATTCCTTAAAGGCACAGAGACTGATAGTGATCAAGGCCTGTAAGATGTTTGTATTCCAGGGGTCTATGAATTGTCACACGTTTAGTACAATGGGGGAAGTTTTAACTATCTGATTGGTCAGTTTGAATGTCTCACATTTGGGTTTTAGTCACATGGTCAGGGAAAGGATAAAAGAAGATTGTAATGTTGCTCTGTCTCTTTTATGCTCTGGCTCTCTACTTAGGGTGTACTCACACTAGGCACGGTTGCCATGAACCGGGCCCGAGTACGATTGTCCCCCCTCCCCACTCCCCCTCTGGCCTGCACTAACATAGGGTTTCAGCATTCGTGCCGGAGCACGCTTACGTCATTATGGTGCATGCGACGGTTTCGGGATAAACAAGAAGAGCGGCGCTCTCTGAACACAATGAAGTCCATCGCTCTGTTTTCTTTGTGGATAATTTTGTGTCGTTTGGTCCACAGCCCTCTCACAGCCTGTTGTTAAACAGATGCGTCGCCTTAGTGGCGCGAAAATTTTCACGTAATCGTGCTGCTCGTATGAGGAGGTTTGCAAGGTACCAGCTGAAGTGCAGCAAGGACTTTGCAGCTTTGATTACGGACTGTGTTGGTTTTGGAGCGTCGCAAAACCTTGACGCCACGCGTCCTGTTCCGTGCTCCAGCACGGTTAGCGCTCACACTGCATGCGAACCGCGCCCGAGTCCAACTGAACCGTGCTCTGGCCCACCTCTTCCAAGCGGGCCAGGGCCGGCTAATCGAGCCGCGCCCGGGCACGGTTCGGAGCACTCACACTAGTCAAACGAACCGTGCTTTGGTGGTCAAACGCACTCGGGCACGGTTCAAACTGGCTAGTGTGACTACACCCTTATTCTCTGGGTCCCTTTCTTGGGGCTCTCTCTCTCTTTACCTCCTCTTCTCTCTCTCTCTCTCTCTCTCTCTCTCTCTCTCTCTCTCTCTCTCTCTCTCTCTCTCTCTCTCTCTCTCTCTCTCTCTCTCTCTCTCTCTCTCTCTCTCTCAGGTAACATTTTACACATATGCTAGGTACAACTATAATCAAATATAATAATTTCATACATCTATGGTGTAACTATTTTAACTTTTAAATCAAGCATATATGGTCATTTAATTTATAAAGTGTAATTATTAAAGTATAAACTCAGTAACCTTGAATTTGGCAGATCTGGTGTCCCTCACAACAATTCACCAGTTAATAAAGATTTAGCCTAGTTCAACTGAAAATTGCAATATATATTAAATTAAATAATGAGCAATATATGATCAATTTTTCTGAACCCCCCCCCCCCCCCCTCCCCCCCCACTCTAATTATCATAATATTGTACAGTAATTGTTATCCACATTTTGATGGTCAAGTGTTAGATTATTTCCTTTTGTGCCATAATTCTCAGTCCCTTAATCGATGGTTGTTTTCTGTCGTCTTATGTTATATTTCTGATTAGTTTAGATATTAATTGAATAATAGAACCTGTGCCCTGTTTCATCCTTATTATATCCTGCGTTACATAAAAATTATCAACCTACAGTTGTTTTATATGCTACTAATATGTAACCATCAAAATGCTCTATATTTGAACTAAATCAAAGGCACCAAATGTGTTTACTGTTAAAGTAATCCAGTATGAATTCAGTAACTTATCTTTTATTTTTCCAGATCTGGTCCTGTGGGCGTCAGTATCACACAGTGATCACAGTTCACACCTGCAGTGAAGCCCCTCCCGCAACAATTCACCAATAAATACTGGGAATATTCCCATCATCCTACAAGAGAAGGACAAACTCCAGGAGTAGCAGCTGAAATCTGTGTGACTGTTAAAGATGGAGTTTATTAAAGAGGAGATTGAAGACATGAGTGATCCAGAACCATCCAGAATAAAACATGAAGATACTGAGGAACAAATAGGTTGGTGTCCATTCTTGATTCTTCATTGTTGACTGCTTTCGTATCTCTGAAATATGGATGACAAATGATAGAGAAATGCATGTTAATGATCATAAGCCAGTTTTAATCGCTTTAACAAGAGAATGACAGAACCGAACTTTGCACATTAAAGATACTTTATACAGATATTTGCTAAGTTATTGCTATTGCTATAATTATTGCTAAGTGTTTTTAATTTTCACATTTAACCTCATTGAACTGATTCTAACTTATTAATACGTTTATTTTAGATCAGATGGAAGTGAAGGAGCAAATACAGAAACTAAATGACGTAAAGAAACACTGCGACTTCAAAACTCAAGGAACAAAAGCCAATAAGCTGCACTCCTGCTCTCAGTGTGGAAAGAGTTTCCAAAATAAAGGAAACCTTAACACACACATGAGAATTCACACTGGAGAGAAACCGTATCCATGCACTCAGTGTGAGAAGAGTTTTACTCAATCATCAGGTCTCAGTTATCATCTGCACATTCACTCTGGAGAAAAACCATTCAAGTGTGATCAGTGTGGTAAAGATTTTATTTCATCAGCAAATCTAAAACATCACCTGAAAGTTCATTCAGATGAGAAGCCTTATGTGTGTTCTCTCTGTGGAAAGAGTTTTTCACGACTGAATAGTTTTAAACAGCACCAGAAAACACACAATGAAGTGAGAGATCATGTGTGTTGTGAATGTGGGAAGAGCTTTATTACATCTGCTTGTCTGAAACAGCATCAAATAATTCATACTGGAGAAAGACCTTACAAGTGCTCAGTTTGTGACATGAGTTACACTCATTCTGGAAACCTGAAAAGGCACGAGCGACTTCACACTGGAGAGAAGCCGTACTACTGTACTCAGTGTGAGAAGAGTTTTACTCAAGCATCATCTCTCAGTGTTCATCTACGCATTCACTCTGGAGAAAAACCATTCAATTGTGATCAGTGTGGTAAAGACTTTAATTCATCATCAAATCTAAAAACACACCTGATAGTTCATTCAGATGAGAAGACTCATGTGTGTTCTTTCTGTGGAAAGAGTTTTTCACGACTGGACAGTTTTAAACTGCACCAGAAAACACATGATGGAGTGAAAGATCATGTGTGTTGTGACTGTGGGAAGAGATTTACTGGAGCTGGCCAACTGAAAGTTCACCAAAGAATTCATACTGGAGAAAAACCTTACAAGTGCTCATATTGTGACAAGAGTTTCACTCAGTCTGGATCTCTGAAATCACACGAGCGAGTTCATACTGGAGAAAAGCCGTATTACTGTACTGAGTGTGAGAAGAGCTTTAGACATTTAGCAAGCCTTCAAAGTCATATGAAAAAATGTTTGAAGTGAACAACATTAGTTTTCATGTCAAATACATTAAAGTAAACTGAGATGAAATATGGAGTTTTTCATAAAAGAAAATCACTATATCATCTAGATTAATTTTGTTAATGTGGTTAAAAGCTTGGTTAACTAGAAAGATTTAAAGGGTTAGTTCAGCCAAAAATGAATTCTGTCATGAATTACTCACTCTCATGATGTTCCAAACCTGTAGGACTAAGATCTTCAAAACACAAATGAAGATCTTTTTGATTAAAGGCACACACCGTTTTTGTCAAACAGCGACCCCTAGAGTCGCTGTGGAGTACTTGTATTTAACGTTACTGTCGTAAATACCACTCGCGCAGAGCATCTGCCATAAACTGGTCTCTGCACTCACGGCCTAATACCCCTTTGAAGCTGTTATATTAAGGTACAAATCTTGCATAGTGTGCCTTTAAATAATAGATCTAGCGCTAAAATGTGTTTTTGAACTCAACCTGAGCACTCGTGTCCGCTGCTATCAGTGTCATAGATACATAGTGTCTCTTGTGGCGGCGCGCACGCAGTCTTCACTCGGACGCGCTCTTCAATCTATCGCCGTTGCTGAGACTCTCTATTCATTCCGGTGAAATCACAAAATAAAATGCACACAAACTTAGAAAGATTTACTTACTAGTCCATCAACAAGATCGCCAGGTCAGCATCACTGTTGCATCCAGTGCTGCTTTTTAGCTCGCGCCAATGAGTGAAAGCCCGACCGAGTGGGACTCTTGTCCGGTTCCTCACACGGTCAGATTCTCTTTTCCTTTTCCTAGTCTCTTCCGACCGCGTTTTCTTTGCTTTTTCCTTCGTTGAAGTGTCTTTGTGCTTCATATGTTGATGTGTGTGACGTCGTTGCCGTAAAGCATGTCGTGATTCTCGCGAGATTTGTCGCGGGCGCTCCTCTCAAACCTGCATTGATGGTTTTTCCAGGGGCGTCCCCCCCAAGCTTTACTACCAGGATGATTCCCCTACTATGAGTTTGTTTACCACCGAAATGACTTTGAAGCTGTTATATTAAGGTACAATTCTTGCATAGTGTGCCTTTAAATCTGAGAGCCTAATTTCAATCTGTTCATCAAATAAAGCGACCGCGTCTCTTCAGAAAATATTTTTACTAAACCGCTGGATTCATATGGAATTATTATTGGTAACACTTTACAATAAGGTTCATTAGTTAACATTAGTCCATGTATTAACTAACATGAAATAACCATGAGCTATACATTTGTTACTGTTTTTGGAAATCTTTGTTAACGTTAGTTAACAATTTCAGTTAATCATTGTTTGTTCATGTTAGTTCACAGTGCATTAATAATGTTAACAAGATTTTGATAAAGTATTAGTAAATGTTGAAATGAACATTAACAAAGATTAATAAATGCTGTATAAGTGCATTTCATTATAAGTTCATGCTAACTAATGTAGTTAACTATGAACCTGAAGGGGGTGGATTGGAATCCACTGCTGCTTCAATGTATATGTAATGATGAGTAATTATAATAAAGGTATTAATCAATATTTTTCCTTCTAAATATTAAATGAGTTGAAATACTTCTCTAGACTTGTTAGATTTTACTTTGTTATAGAAGTTGCCAGTGTGATTACTGAAATGTTATTTTCAAGTATTCTTTAATGTATTTGATATCTGAATGCAGTAACAGTGCTTTGAAATTAATTTTTGATATGTTTTAGCTTACCTCAAGGGCATCCAAGATGTAGGTGTCTTTGTGTCCACAGTATTTTCAATTTTGATATTTTTAGGTCAAACCGTTCTTGTCTGTCAGTCATATAATGCAGGTATATGGGGTCCACCTCAAAGAGCATGCACAGAGAAGTCCAAATTAAACATGATTTAATGACTCGTAAATGTAAGTACACATTGATGGCCTGAGACACGAAACGAGCAGTTTGTGTGAGAAAACGAACAGTATTTATATAGTTTTTACCTCTTGTAAACACAGCCAGATCCAAGTGATCTGAGGTTGCCGGCGCTTCGGTCTTTACCGGAAAGTACCGGAAGTGATCTCTCGCGCGTGTTCGTCACTCATACAATTGTTTTATTTTTTATTTTTTTTGGAATTGTTTTCTTTTACGACGGTTTAAACATCCCGGATAAGAGCAAATTAGTACCCTTTTAATTAGCCGTCTTACCTACAATCTCTGCTCTGTGTAAACAATGAGTGATGTACACGCGCAAGGTTTCACTTCCGGCGCTTTCCGGAAAAGACCGAACCGCTCGCGACCTCAGATCACTTGGACGTGGCTGTGTTTACAAGAGGTAAAAACGATATAATACTGTTCGTTTTCTCACACAAACCGCTCGTTTCGTGTCTTAGGCCATCAATGTGTACTTGCACTTACGAGTCATTAAATCATGTTTAATTTGGACTTCTCTGTGTATGCTCTTTGAGGTGGACCCCATAGACCTGCATTATATCACTGACAGACAAGAACGGTTTGACCTAAAAATATCAAAATTGAAAATACTGTGGACACAAAGACACCTACATCTTGGATGCCCTTGAGGTAAGCTAAAACATACCAAAAATTAATTTCAAAGTGAACTATCCCTTTAAGGAACCGCTTCCGAAATGCTCAGATATGCTTCCGTCTATCTGTATATGTGTGGAAAATTACTGTGTTTATCTATTTCTTAGCCAATGAGAATCATTCAACCTGTAAGCAATGACGTAGGAAACCTTGGAAATGGTATAACTGCTGTGATCTTTGTAACTGTAAGTGGGCGGCCTACAAACTCCTGTGTGAGTCTTGAAGCTGATTTCTGCTGATGAAACTGCAAACTATCTTCAGTAAAACCTTTCTTTAATTTTTATAATTCTGACTCCGGGTCTTCATTCTTCATATCTGGTTCTGGGTCTTTGACTGTATACCCCTTACAAACCTTATTGTAAAGTGTTACCGGATTATTTTTACAATCTCTTTATAAACTTTCTTTAAGCAACAAATTGGTTATTGCATAGCTGTTAATGGATGAACAGAAAGCTCTCAGATTTCATTCAAGCCAAATAATAAAAGATGTGGGGCAGTGGTGATAAAAATATAAGGAATAATTGACGACAAGCCTTTGAATTATTAGAAAATAATGCACACCTGTATGGAAGGCATTTTCTGCCAAATTTAAAGAAATCAATTAAATTATAAAAATGAAAACTAAAACCAGATTAACCATTTCATTACAGAAAATGCAAAATTTCATTTTAATTTTAATTTTCACGGTGACAGTGCATCATCCCTGTCAAATTGAAAAATAAAATGCAGTTGGTAATTTCACGTTTCATTTTCACTACAATCTCGAGGCAAGACTGCCAAATGAAAAGGCAAACGTGAAAAGAAATTGCAAATAAGCCTACAGTTTTTACAAAGCTTTTTATTGACACTCACGCAATAATAATGACACAATTCAAATGTAAAATTTAGTTGTCATTTTATTTCCTCTTTTATTTAACAGTTTAGTTTTCATTTTTAAAGACAACCTGTATGCAAATTCTATGTTAATGAGTGGGTGGGTGTTTATGAATGTTAATCAATTACGCTGTGTTGTGGAGGAGCGAAAATGGCGGTTATGCAAGCAAACATTTCGGATGATGATGACTTCATTTTGCTTCGAGTTGCATCTATCTTAGATAGACTTGGACACTTTGCAGCCATCACAAACTGTTGATCGTAAATAATCTAGGTGAGGTTGAGCAGTGCCTTCCCAGCAAACATTTTCACATTTAATGACCGTTGAAAAGACGTCCCTCCGACACATCCCGTCATGGTTGAAAAATAGTTCCAGAATGAAAGTTGAACCGACGTCTTCGACGTCATCTGGCCGTGAATTCCACGTCTTTTCTGCGCGTCCATGGACAAGTAAATGTTTTTTTTTCATTTACAGGCAATCAATCAGGCTATTTTTACACATCTTAACTTGACAAAGGTTCTAAAAAGGTCCAAAATTGGTCCGGTCAGACCTGGGCGTCTATAAAACCGTTTAATCACGTGTACATCAACACATTATTTGTGGACTAAAGCAAAAAAAAGAGTGTTATAATTTAGCACAACATTTTATTATTATTATGAATATTACATTTGAAATGTCTTCCAGTTGTTAAACTACTATTCAAAAAAGATAAAAATAGTACAATGTGGTAAATTCTCTGTTAATGGCATGTTCTCGAACAGTTTCACATTAAGGTTAAGCAGCCGTTAATCAAACCAGAATATAACAAAAGTACAGGTACATGAACAGTCAACACATTCTATAATATTTTAGAATAGTCTTTCTATAATATCCCATCATTGATGAATAGAATAGCTGTGGCAGTACTAATTTTCAGTTACTAACAGTCTTGCATTACTGTTAAACAGCCCTAAATAAAACATTTTAGAGTCCATGAAATTTGTTTATGGCTTTATGATTTTTGGAGTCTGTAGCATTTGGGCTCCACCTCGTCACAGCATCTGTGGGAAGAGAATGTGGTAAAAAAAAAGAAAAAGAGGCTAATTTTTAGGTTAATTACGTACTGTTTTTGAAAATGTCTGAAAATAACTGACAATGTTGAGTATGTTCTGCGTTAAATATGTTCGAATAGTGAAAAAATTAAAGCTGCAGTCCGTAGCTTTTTTTGGGTTAAAAAATTATCCAAAATACATATTTGATAAAATACGTAACCAGCCAGTGTTCAAAACTATCTGTTTGCCTCAGCTCGATTCAAAGCGGTAAGCTTGTAATAATGTTTTTAACTCCAGTGGTACTGGTGGATTTCTGCGGGAGATTCGAGCATGTCTTTGCGTCATTACGTCACATCTGTACACATAAAGAAGAGTCTCGGCTAGTAGGCTATATTGCGAGTGAGGATGTTGGAGGTGGAGATTTATAGCCTTTTCTCACAGCACTTGATATAATTAAACTTATCAATTTGATGGCGGATCCAGAAAGGTTCAAACGACGATCAC